CACACACACACACACACACACACACACACACACACACACACACACACACGAGAGACGGGCGAGAGACCGAGTAGTCGGAGAATACGTGAGTTAGAGAAGCCATTTCACGTGACGTCAGAGAGACAAGAACCATTAACCAAGAATGGACAAACGCTTACATCTTAATTCTTCACTACGAGTCAAACCATAAATCTTTTGAGCAAACGTACCCACTCAGATCTGAAATTAAGTCACAGATAATAAACAATCTAAGAGCTCAATATGATCAGAATCCTAACACATGAATTCACTGTCCAACAATGATGTTAACAGAGAGAATCGAGCTGAAACAAGTGGTTTAATAACCACAGATATAACGTTTGACCCTGCACACCAATTCTTTTTCGAAGATGAGAAAAATATATGTTTTTTTGGTTGACATCACTTCACCCTGAATGAACTGAATTTAAAGCTGCAGGACAATTCAGTTAAATTTTCTAAAATGAAGTACTTTATTTTAAGATTTTTCAAAAGCATTCAGTTCTGTAATTTATTCTTTAACGCAGTCCTTATTTTACTTGAAATGAGAGATGTATTCATTAGATTATGTATTATTTATAATTCATCCAGTTCAATTTGAAATCTGACAAGAAATATTGTTGAGATATTATTTCTTAAATTTGATTTGACAGTCAGTTGTTGACTACGTACAAAGGTTAATACACATGCTAGGCTACTTTAATAATTATGGCACTAAACCATGCGCAAGTTAGACATTATTGTGATGTTCCGGACCTTTGAAGAAAGTCTCTCTAACTGGACCTTTGCTGAACTAGTCAGGGCCAGATTTGGACTATGACACAATTTTTCTAATGTGGCCTCTTTACACGACTCCAATGGATTTGAAACTAATCAGTCAATATGTGGTTAAGGTGAAGACTTTCAGCTTTAATTCAATGGATAAAACAAAACAAAAAAATCACTGTTTAGGAATTACAGCCACTTCTACACAGTCATCCCCATTTTCAGAGGTTCAAAAGTAATTGGAGAATCTAACATAATTGTGAATATAATCATTATTTGTAATACTTGGAGGAAAGTCAATGATTGCCTGAAGTCTGGCACCATAAACATCACTAAACGCTGAGTTTCCTCCTTTGAGATGCTTTGCCAGACCTTTTACTGCAGCCTCCATCAGCTGCTGCTGTTTGTGGGTCTTTCTGCCTTCAGTTTTATCTTCAGTAAGTGAAAAGCCTGCTCACTTAGGTTGAGATCAGGTGACGGACTTGGCCATTGAAGAATATTCCATTCCTTTGCCATAAGAAGCTCTTGGGTTGGGTTCACAGTATGTGTTAGGTCATTATCCATCTGCACTGTGAGGCGCCGTCCAATCAGTTTTGTAGTATTAGGCTGAATCTGAACAGATAGTTTAGCCCTAAACACCTCAGAACTCATCCTGCTACTTCTATCAGCTGTGACATCACCATTGTACACCAGTAACCCAGTTCTATTGGCATCCATACATGCCCATCCAAAGCACTGCCTCCTCCATGTTAGACAGATGATAGTTTGTTTCAGATCATGAGCCTTTCCTTCTACACACATTTCTCTCCCATCATTCTGGTACAAGTTCATCTTGGTTTCATCTCTCCAAATATTCTTGTTCCCAAACTGGTCAGTCTTTTCAGATGTTTTCTGTTAAAGTCTAATCAGACCTTCCTGTTCTTCAGTGTTGTTAGTGGTTCTCACCTTGTTGTAAACCCTCTGTATTTAGATTCATGAAGGCGTCTCTTGATTGTAGACTTTACCAATGGCACGCCTACCTCCACCAGAGTGTTCTTGACTTCAGTAGATCTTATGAAGGGTTTTTCTTCACCAAGGTACACCAATTTTTTTAACCTAATAATGGCCTCCTTCACTTGCATTGACACCTTTTTGGTCCGCATGTTGCGAGTTCCAAGGACCAGCTACCAACTGCAAATATAACATTTTGAATCCTATTGTCGGAATAATTTGTCATGAAATAGTGACAGAATAGGACACATCTGGCCATGAAACCATCTGTCAGACAATTGTCAATTACTTTTGAGCCTCTGAAAATGTGGGTGGCTGTAATTCCTAAACGGTTATTGTGATTTTTTTGTATTAGACATTGAATTAAAGCTGAAAGTCTACACTTCAACCACATATTGACTGATTACTTTCAAATCCATTGGAGTTGTGTAAATAAGCAAAATTAGAAAAATTGTGTCATAGTCCAAATACTTATGGCCCCGACTGTATAATTGAATAGCCCTGATGTAATGATTACTGCGACACCGTCCCCATGTGTTCTGACACATTACATCAGACTGATGCAGTAACTTGTGTGGAATAGACTTTATCCTGTAAACATGACTGAAGGAGAAATGACTGATCTTATCAAGTAACTTGCTGAAAAACTGCTCATATTTATGCTGTGGAATGTTTGTCAAATCTGTAGATTATCTGTTTGATACCCTTTCAAAATACTGTAGAGAATTCATATTGTCATATGTCAACACTGAAATAAACAGATATGTATCATGTTGCTTACGGTCAGTATTTATTACCTTTAACAACCTTATTACAAACTGGAGCTGGATACCATTATTTGCCAGGTCAGTGCCATTTGGCTGTTAAATGTGGTTAACTATGTTGTTATCTTCTTCTTGCAAACTAGCTAGAGGTGCATAAGCAACTAACTGGACTTGAGTGAAATGAAACTGGAGCACGTGCAGTCGGCACTCTTGCTATACCGTACAGTCACAAATTTTGGGCTGGACCCTTGTGGAAATGGGCGGATGAAGACATTTACATCACACAGACCAAAGTGGACCCTCGCAGACATGTGGAAAGTGTGAATTGGCCTTTACGCCGAGTTCACAGTTGGCCCAATTGGTTTCATGTGCGTCGAAAGGAAATGGGCAGCGCTTTCACGTCCAGTGTGAACCCAGCGCTGGGCTATGTTACCACTACGAGTCACAAAAGCAACGGATCAGCCTGAACCTAGCATGGCTATAGTCAGCGAGTGTTGCTCAAGCGATGTGGTTGTATCCTTAAATAGCAATGACAACTAAAAGAAACAAAGACAAGAAATGTAGAATGACTTGTTATGTTTACTGACTTCCAAACAAATATTCAATATTAAATACACACTAGGATAAACGGTTTACTGTATATTGCACATTTGTCCATAACTTCAACTGGTTATGCTTTAAACATAAACCTGATTATTTTTGTTATATTTTGCATACACCTCACATAATGTGATATCAATATCATGTATTGTAATATCTGTAATACTAGTAATTATGATTTTAACTCGTCATCCAGACCAACCTTATATTCCTGTATATCACACATGTGTGTTTTTATACAGTGGCTTCATAGCTGTTCTCAATACTCATCTATGCAATTCCTTTGAAGCACTTTGCCATACACATACAATACATCAACAAGACAACAATATAATACATAAACATAAATAATATTGTTGTTTATCTTTTTACTATTTTATTCCTTGCCTCCCATTTTAAATGTTATGGCGTTTTCTGGGTTTTAATCCACCCATGTTTAAATTGTTCATAGATTCATAAAGTGGTGGAATATAGTCTTACATGTTGCTAAAGCTGCTACTTCTGGAAACCAATTACATGCTCGCCACTACTGTAGCTCGTGCAGTTTGATTGCAACCTTACATGTTGCGTAATTTTAAGAACAACCACACTTTACTTGTTCAACTGAAAAAAAGATGGTGCATTCCTGTTTAGGTTGCTCTTCAGGTCTCCGTTTCCCTAATAAGTGCTGCAGGGCACTGTCATGATGGGACTTGAACACCCAACATGTAAACTTACTGGCAAGGTAAAACACAGGCTGCTTTTACTTAATTGCAAGCAAACATGGCAGCAAATTAAACAGAATTCAACAAACTTCTCAATAAACTAGGTGTCATCGACCAAACCGGTGCTTCTTCCAACACTCATCACTGCAGCCTGTACTCTCTAGTCAACTGGTGTTTCATCTATAAAACTATCACTGAACGTCATTCCAAAAGTCCGCCCCTCCTTCGGCCGCTTCCCGTTACTGTCTGCGGCTCCAAGCGACTGGACCGAGTTGCAAAAGAAGCTGAAGGTCCACACCCTCATTCAGTCACGCTCCTTCAACTACTCACCACCAAACACCGTCTCTGATCAGTGATCAGTGATCAGTGCGGCTGCTTCGGAGTTTGCTTCTACCTGAACACTGTTTATTTGTTTTTTTTATATTGTACATATTATAATATGTTATGTTTGTATGAGAAGTTTCTATCTTCGTTGAACGAATTGACCCCTGATGCTGCCTTTTTGGTCAGGTGGTCATTGTAGATGAGAACTGATTCTCAATTGACTTATCTGTTTAACTAAAGGTAAAATAAAATAAAGGAATACATTGTGACTAAATATTTGATAGGCTACTTTTCACTTCAATCCATCTATGGCAGTTGTTGTTTCTCCTTTGATTCAATCAGACCCTTCAGTCAGTCTGAGCCCTCACACTTACCAACACATCTCACACTGAGCCTGCGGGTCTTCTCTGTTTGTAACAAAATACAAGTTTCATCTACTCTCATTTCGTCTGCACCCAGCTGACTAGATATATCCAGAGCCGCTGTATTCACACATCCGCCCCAAACATGTAGACGTGTCCCCCTTGTTCCCACACAGCCTACCTGGTCATTCTCTTTGCTACTTCCAACGTGTCCACCTTCTCTGTCCCTCTCTCTCTGCGGCTCCTTCATCCTGCGCTGCACCGAGGCGTGTAGTCTGGTCGGAGAGATCCGGGTCAGCTGTGTGTTCTGCAGCTCCGCCCACAAACCTCAGCCCTAAACCATAGCCGCCTCTCTTACTTCACCAATAGATAGATAGCATTGGTGTAAAGCTACTCAGACCCTTTAATTAAAGTTAGTACGAGGAACTTTTGACTTGTTATGGAACAGTCTCAGTTTAATATGTCTCTGAGCTACATTTAAGGAGACCATCAGCGAGAAGATTGGTTATTTCTATTTAGTCATTCTTACCGCTTGTCATTAGTGCCCGCGGGTCGGTTTCATGAAGGTCCACCAGAAAGTCGTTCAGCTCAGGCTGCAGAGGAGTCTATTTTAGCGGGAGGAGGAGAGCGCGTACCCTGCAGCAGTGTCTCCTCTAGCCAGGAGCAGAGCTTCTCTTCTCTGCTCCACCGGTGCCAATTGGATCCAATACCGACACCACGCTGCTGGAGACCCAGGCCGTATTGCTGGGCCTACTGGAGGGAGGGGACGCTGGAGAGAACCAGAACCCGGACTGAGTGGAGCAGACTCTTGGACCCTTGCTGCAGTAAAATGAGAAGTTTTGCAAGAGAATCTGGTGCTCGGAAACACTACCACCTACGTCCACAGGGGCCGCCAAAATCAACACCAAATGAAAGTTCCTTGTAAAACTGTATTTAACTTCAGTAAACTGTATTAATTACAATAGTCATATACGTACATGAAATTTGACCTCTGCTTTACACCCACCCTAAGCTGCTGTAAAGCGCCCGGGGAAGATCTTGGCAGGCCCTGTTGTATTTGACTTTATTGACCCAGACGGTGATGTGGAGGTCTGATCCAAAGCAAAAGCCCTTTCCACCATCATCTGTGAGAGTTTAACAGGTTTAAAGCGGCTGGAGCGTTTTTACAACTGGAAAGTCCAAAGCATCACATTGCTTATTGCTTCACCCATTCAACAGATGTTGGTGACTGTGTTGACTGGCATATCTGTAATAAAGGCGCATCCAACGATCCACTCCAAAGAATCAATGTCAAATGTCCCAGACACAACCTACCAAAACCTTCCTCTCTATTGTTTTCCCTGTAGGTGCACCTTTAAAAAATACTTTGAAACAGTATGCAACATTGTGAAACTGTTGTATTGTGGTTTACTGCAGCTAAACTCTGCCATTAACTGACAGCCAAGCAGCAGCAGGATATACAGTTTACGCTCTTGACTGCAACATGACCCTTGAGGCCTTAAGCCATCAAGTTAGTGAGCGGTATTTTCAAGTCTAATTTGCTTTTTATTACTAATGTGATTTATCATTTCATTCTGTTTGATTTATTTAGTGTTTTGATCTCTGCGATGGCCACACCAGGGGCGCGTAGTGGTTGCGGCGCTTTGTCGTGCATCTCAGATCTGAAAGATCGCCATTTGTTGGACCCATCCACAACCCTTCCCTCCCGTCCTGTGGACTTTTTGGGTCTTCATACTTCCTCGTTCATGATAACGTGGATAACATACTAAATAATGTTGATTGATGCACAGTATGGATTCATGCATGATGGTCAACGAATTACTAAAATCACAAATCCGAAGCCACAGCAGGATATAGAACAAAAGTGGCATGTGTTCTCAGATGGGAGCAAGCAATATGTTAATGGTGAAATGTCTCAGGGGCGTATGTGATGAAAAGGAGCGATAAAACACAAACAGCTAAAGCAGGGGTCTCAAACTCAATTAAATAATTAAAAGTTAGACTTGATAATAAAAATATCCCCGTAGTCGAAGTTATGAGATAGAAAGTCAAAATGATGAGATACTTAAACACACAGTCGCAGAAGCAGCTCTTTGGCTGGTTACTGTACACTTGACATGGAAATGTATTGTGAGTACATTGAAGATACTTTAAAACACATGAAATACTTCACGTGGGATTGTGTAAATGCACCCTTGAAAGGATTTTAAGCATTGAACAAAGTTATTGTAATAACTTGTGTTTGATATTTGTCTTTGCTATTTTCTTTAATAGTTTGATCTTTGATAGAGTAATGTGGGTTTCTTAACCCTAAATTAAAAGGATTTAAGTTATAACAGAAATGTGCTTAAATATATTTTTACATTTAAATAACTGCATGTACAATATTTTTACATTTGAATAAACACTAATCAAATGCAGAGACAGTTATTTATCAATATGTTAGGAGTAGTTACATTTACACAGTCTTACATTTACAACCGGCCCTTTGAGGGAAACCATGATGCTGATGTGGCCCAGAGTGAAGATGAGTTTGAGACCCCTGAGCTAAAGTAATCCTCGAAGCATTACCATTTTGCAAAAAGAAAGGCATTAAAGTAGTTGCTATTGTGACTGATTCAAGGAAAGAATCGTTGGAGTTGTGGGAACAGAGAGAATTTGAGAACAGTAAAGCTAAATCCCTGAATCATGTGGAGCAGAGTGGGATTATAAAAGAAGCTAAGAGAACATACAAAGTCAAATGGATAAAAGTTGAAAGTTACCTTGAGGTTGATCAAATTGCACAGGAGCGGCCAGCAAGCCTGGGGCCTTTGGGTTTTAACATTTCTAGAAGGCTGGTATAAACAATGAAACCACAGTGCAGAGCGTGTTAAACCATATACATGAAGGGTTGGGTCATGTTGTTGGTAGGGTATTTGAACAAGAGTGTTCCTTGGCACAGAGAGAGTGCGTTAAGATATCCACCTACATAGTCCCTGTGTTTATGCGACTGACTGACACTTAAACTTCAATTCAATTTATTTGTGTAAAACAATATCACAAATCACATATTTGCCTCAGAGGGCTTTACAACCTGTACAACATCTTGTGTCTTTGGACACTCCCATCAGATAAGGAAAAACTCCCCCCAAAAAAAAACTTTTAATGGAGAAAAAAGGAAGAAACCTCTGGAAGAGGACCAAAGGACGGATCCCTCTCTCACGATGGACAGGGGTACGTTAGATGTCATGTGTACAGAATGAACAACATCAAAGTGACAACATGATCAATCCATATGACAAAAATGGATCTTCAATCCACCACATTCCTGGCATATGGGTGGAGCTCATGACTGGGTTGGCAACATATACTCAATTCAATGCTTCTCCAGTCTGGGTGTTCACAACTTAATCACAAAGTCTTAACCACCTTTATGGCTGAGATCACATCATAATTAATGACGTTCATCAGACCCTAAATATCCTCACATACTGACACAATTCATTCATTCATTAACCCAAAAAACAGACACATTTCTGCCTCCTCAGGGTGAGCTCAGCAAAGGAGAAAGGAGATGTTCAAGTAACTGTGGAATCGCCTTCAAAGTTTGGCTGATGAATTCTGGAGTAGGTGGCGAAAATAATTCCTCAGCATAATGCAAACTCGTCAGAAATGGCAGCGCAGAAGGCCCAACATGAAAGATGTTGATGTTGTTCTTCTCAAGAAGAAGCAAGTCAGAAGGAATGACTGGCCATTGGGAGTTGTGGTCAAAGCTGTTCCCAGCAGAGATGGACTGATAAGGAAAACAGGTGAAACTTGTGCGACAAAGGTCTTCTCAAGGCCCATTCAGAACTGGTTTACCTCAAATCATCAGATCAAGCTGTTTAGTTGTATTCAGTAGCGGTGTCTTAAAGAGACAGGACGGGGAGTGTTCTGGCCCCGCTAGTTATTCGGTGTTCTTTGGTAACTCCTACTGGTCAGCTACCCTAATGCAGTGTTTGGGCATTGACTTTGTAGTTCCTGTGGTACAGGACGTTTGTCTGAGTAACCTGAAAAAACAACAACTATAATGTAGAGGGGGGAATCTTACTCAGGCCTGATATCAATCAATATGAAAACACCCAAAGAGATCAAAGCATATAAAAGAACCACCCCCTGACCAAACAGCTGTGGGTCACTATTCTACAGGATCCCAGTGTGGACAAAATACTGCATCCACAAGGAGTAAATGTTTACAGTCCAACCAGTATCCCACTGTGGTTCAAAAACATCTGTAACAGGTAGATTAGTAGGTTTAAGCATTAGTAATAAATCAATTTTACAGCTCAACATTATGGCGTGACTGTAAATAAAGGGTACAGACTCAATGATATTGTCCTATGCTGCTAATTAGAAGTACTCTGTGTCCTCATGCCAGGCCTTTTACTTTGAAAATATCTGCACACTGTAGATTACTTTTTTAATGCAACTCTTTCATCAAGCTCTGTTTTATCAACAGCACTACTCTCTTCTCCTTCATTACCAGCACAAACAGGATCGCAGGTTACATGGTATGTGATTATTGAGAAGATTCTAAAAAGATTTGGCAGAAGAATAAATCATTAATACATACATGTTCATTACTACACAAATGTGTTTAATGCAGCCAGAGAGCTCAAAGGGAGTCTGAGTTAGTTGAAGAGGCCTCTGCATGGAGAAGATAAAAGTGGACAGTATGGGTTTGGAGTAGGGTGGTCCTCCCCCGGGGATGCTGGAGTCATTTCCCCAACACAAGGAAGTCACGAATAAAGCACATTCTTCCTTCTGTGCAACTCTGGATCTCAGGTTTACACCAAATAATACTGGAGTCAAGGAAACACACACAAAAACACACAATATCAAAGTCAGTTTCAAGATGGGAATGAATGACGCATGATTTGTTTTTTGATCAATTAAGCTCGAAGCTCTATTTAATAGCTTATCAGAGCTTTCAAGTGCATCTCCCAGTCTTCATTCAGCATATGGTGGTTGTATATAGGGAGGGATAGTAACTACTGCCTCTGTTCATAGATGGTCTCTGGTGTCAGATGAGAATGTCCTCCTTGATCTCCCTCTGGGCGCCTACTGGCTGCTAGTCAGTGACCTTTGACCTCCTTCCAGTGGATGCTGTGAGCAGTTTTGACCTGGTGTGACAGAGTGGCTCAAACTGTCACCGGCCCTGTCCTCTGCAACTGCTTGACAACACTTGTCCTAAGACTTGGAGGACTCGGGAGCTGAAGAATTGAGGCTCGCCTCGGACTTGTAGTTAACTGACTTGACTAAAACATTGTGTGTCTCTTGTGACTTCAAGTTCCACATAAACTGCCAGTCATTTAAAACCTTAGAACATAACAGCCTTCCATATTGTAGTGTGTGTGTGTGTGTGGCCATCCAATGAAAGATTAAGGAGACAGTACAGGAAACAGTGGCTTGATAACTCAGGAAACTTGCTTCCTGCTTGCAATAACCAAGGGGGCAGTGAAAGGTCTTGTGATGGGCGTGGAGGAGGAGCTACATGGGCCACAAAGCAAGCTCCATTTTCTATGATACCATCTGACAACTAAATAAGTAATTAGCTGCTTCTATTTCCAGTCCCATCAGTTAAAAACTTTTGAAATTCACATCTTCTTTTTAATTGACATTGACATGATACATATTCAAGTGAATAGAAATACAGCTAAAATTAGTTCTTTAAAATAATGTCTGTAAGGCAGAGTAAAAAGATGAAATAAGGTATAGCATATATAAATATATACATAGGTACAAATATATGAGCAAAGTAGTGACTACGATAATATATGTGTGTGATAATTGAGGTGTTTACTGTTGAGTACAGAGCTGTGTTGTGACGGAAGTCATCTTAAAAACATTAGTACATTTGTGAAATAACAATTAACAAATCATGAATGCTTATGAATCACTGTGATAAAGTTAACCTCCGCACATGTTATGACCTGCCAGTGGAGTTCCTCACATGCAGGTGAATAGAAGGGATTGGTGACTTCATGTGTATCAGAGAATGCATACAGTTGTCTGTACCCTCTGTACTGTAATACACACCACAAATGGGCCATATAATATGTCATATTTTAATAATAACAGTAAAATCACTTTCAAAAAAGTTGATACTATTTAATGGGAAGAGAAGGTAGAAAAAAACTAAGTAGTATGCCTTTAAACATTTACAAAGAGACACATTATCACCATTACTTGATCATTTCTATTGATGTGTACACATTTGAGGTTTTTGCAGTCGCTAATCTGAAGTGTAAACTATTCAACATAAACTAAGTCTCTTCAAGTTTAAATTATTAAAACTGATATGCACATTTACAAATGTTTCTGATCTGATAAACTATTGTTCATTAGTTCATTCTTTCACTTTCTTTATTTCTCTTTTTCTGCTTGCTCGTTTTGCAAACACAGCAGTTGTATTCCCTAATGATGAATGGTGCTGTTGAAAGGATGTGTCTCACCACCGAACATTCAGCCACAGCTGACATGTCCCTCAATATAACAGAGTGAGGCAGTCCTTTCTGACGGCATGTTGGGTACCTGGGTACATGTGCTGTCCCCAGTGAGCCCAAGAACAAAAGTCTACTTCTGCTGCCATCTACTGGTTCATAATACATTTGTAACATGAATGACTTATGCTTCACTTTAACAATGTTTTCTTTGTACATCTCACCACAACAATCCTTCACCAACATGCTCTGCATGGTGTCACTATTCTGATGTACGTTTCCACAGCCACTTCACCTGGTATCGTTCAACATGTCTTTGCTGGAAGATTGCAGCGTGTCCACCTGGCTCAAACTGGGCCTTCACTGAGGCATTAACATGAACATTGGTCACTTTTGTTAAAAAAGACTAATTGTCCACTTACTTAGCTGCATCAATGTAAATTCCTTGATAAATAATCAAGGTTTATGTTATCAACTACATCCATGTAGCCAGGACCAGAGATGTCCTGTGGCCAGCGAGTGATAGTTTGTTAATTTAATGTTTTGGTAATATTACAAAGCAAGTGTGATATTTTCGGTAATTTAATGTTACAAAGCGAGTAATATTTTCTTCATGTAAACAAATAGACTTGAAAGGGAGAATAGTTAGACATTTTATTACTGATTTTGTCAAGATGTTCTCATAATAAAGCAACACGTTAGCATCCGTGTCATATTACCAATTAGAGCCACGGTGAATGAATGAACAATGGAAGATAAACCTTGATGGATACTTTCTACAGGTGCTGTGACAACTCCCAACTCAGTTAGACTATGAATATTTGTGTTGGTCTTCTTAATCGTACCACATAGCTCACTTCAAGAAAAGTCACATTTACAGATTAGTTTTATTTATTTTTTTAAAAAGCAGCAGACAACAAAACAAAAATACAAAAGAGAAAAATACAAGTATGGTGAGTCAGAGTAATCTCTGCAGTGCCAACATGGTTCCTACTCTTCAGATGGACTCTAGCAGCCACAGACACATTGCATCAAGACTAACATTGTATTGAGACTGCCGTGGGCTCCAGGACACCTGAGGAACCTACTGGAATCGGTTTTTCTTCTCTACGGTGCAGCAGTAACTAACTCGTCAAGATGCTCAGGTGTGGTTTCTTTAAAGGCCGTGACACCTGATCAGAGCCAATGGTGCAACCCAGCTAGCACACATGTAGACCAAAGAAACACAGCAGACCACTTCTGGTTATGGTTGGAATCAACTCGTGTGTGAAGCATCACCAATCTTGTCCTAAATCTATACTACATACTGATTCTAAGCAGGTTTTTAATATGGAGTGAGTTCACAGAGGAAACATGACATACGGTTTACTCAAACCACACTATTCAGACTACATGCCGTTCCGGTTTAAGTGATCCGTTGATACACACCATTCTCTCCCAAAAGAAATGGAGCTGCTCACAGCAGATCTAAATAAGTTTACGCACTGCAACCCAAAGAAAAAACAAAGTCATATTTTGACATTTATTCGTTTAAAACAGTATACGAGGATGAATATGTAATCTGTACTGTGTAGAATTAGTATGTAGTTTGGGACAGGTTTGCCAGAACTTTACAGGGTATGCTGTGCTTCAGAGTCCTGATCAGGTTCCAGAAGATCAAACCAGAAAGCTTGAGGTCCTTTCACACCAGAACTACATCACTGTATTATTTATAGTTTGAATAAGTCCTAACTTGTGCTCACAGTTACATGTTTTTTTATTGACTGGTTCACAGGTGGAAGAGGCAGAGTTTCTTGAGAATACAGAAATCGGAAAACCCACATACAGACTCAAAAATAAGGAGATTAGAAACTGGGTCATGTAATGACAAAACAGAGGGCCAAAGTGACTCAACAGCATACTATGCAGACAATGTCGGCAGGGCTGTTGTGTTGGCGTCTGTATGGTTGACAACATAGACACCTGCACATGCAAAGGACAAAAACCCCTGAGCAGAACCCAAGCTGTTGGACACAAACATCAGGCACATGTCACGTGTTCTGAGTGACTACGTCGCCAGGACAACGCACTTTCACCCCCAAGCATGTGAAGATCTTTTAAATACTGTTAACATCTGAACAAGAAAATGACAAGAAAAGAGGACGTATTAAAATGTTGCTGCATGGGGAGCGTCAAACTATTGTAGAGACTCCGAGTCAAACAGTATAATCTGTCCCCTACTAAAGACAAACTAACACAGGGAGGGATGAGACTTCTAACGCATCCGGTACTCTGCCGTCTTTGACACCTCACACAGCTGACCCTTGAAGTCGATGTCTACGGTGAAGTCCAGGTCTCTCTGCAAACCAACAGAAACGAGTCAGACAAGACCCACACAGCAACCCACTCCAGTGATAGAGCAACACAGTTTAAATCAAAGCACAGCAAGTGGGAAGGAATTTCCAAGTTTGATATAAAGGTGGAGCTCCGCTTACATTGTTCTTGACGTTTGGCTTCATGCTGATTGTGCCAAAGATCTCCTCACCAGTCTTCACAGTCAGGTACTCATCCAGGTAGAAGACGGTCTGCTTCCAGTGGGTGTAGGGAGACTCAGGGCCTGACAGGGGAAATAAAGTGGGCATGAATTCAGAACACTTCACACTCCTGCAGTCAATGTCCAATGCAAAACTCCACTAAGTGGGTGAGTGAAAGAAAGGCGTTCATACTGAGGTAAATGCTGCCACACTTAAATGGATTTGAATAGAAATAAAGAAACTTGCCGTTTCAGCCTGTAGGGAATCTTACTAGAGCTGCAGCCATCTATATTTAGTAATCGGTATTCTACCAATAATTCCATAGATTAATTGGTTAGGAACTACTTTTGTTTTATTATCAAAGAGCAATAGTAAATATTGAATAAATAAAATAAAACAAACAGTGTACTTGTTTATTTCATAAATTGCATACAATATCTGTCAAAACTAAACCCATTTAGTTAAGTGAAACTTTACATTGTGGGTTTTAAATAAAACATTTATAGAAATGCAACCAAATATTTTAAAGAGTAATTTCAAATGAAAGGTACAACTAACTAATGGAACTGTGATCATGTGTTAGAATTCTATATTTGTATTCAATAGTCAGGAGTCTTGCTCCTTGAACAATTATCAATCAATATCAAATAAATTAAATCTGTAGTATAACACATAATACTAATAAGTGAGAAAAACCTATACTGCACTATGCAGATTTGGGAGAGGCATCAAAGCTGAGAATCACATGTCATTTACAATGATACTCAAGAGGCTCTTATATGGAATTCAGGGTTGATAACTAGAATCACCCTTTTGTTGTGGCCAATACTGATATTACTTTTGCAAAACCAAAAATGTAGAGAATAAAGGACCTTCATCGTCCTATTAGTAAAGAATAGACTGAATCTTGTTTCCTGTTATGGACAATATAGCATTGCTATAGGGTTAAAGGGTTTTTAGGCGTAATTATTGGTTCTTCCATTAAAGGAACAATAAAAGTTAATATTCGGATTTATCTGATAATATATCAAACAAACAATGAATACAATACGTCTCCTTAGTATCACAACCCTTGACGTTGCTCTTATCCAGTTACTAGAAGAACGGGTAGACTATCTTACTATCAGATTTAGAGTCATACAACCCTGACTAATGCAGACAGATCACAGCATCCTGACCACTGGGTAAAGACAACAGGTGTAGAGTGTGTAAGAAAGCAGACTGACTGGTGGAGAAGCCGGTTCTCTTGTGACAGCGGGTGAACTCGATGTTGAAGTAGGTGACCAAAGCTTGAATGTAGTCGTTCCGCTTCACCTGCAGGCAGAACGGCGAGGTGAAGGTCAGGTCATCCAACTTCACTGTGTAGATGTCCACCTCCTGAACAAACAAACACACAAGGCAGAGTTAGACTTCTTATTTCAGAACACACTAACAGAGTCAAAACCTCAGTAGCAAAGGACAGCTGCACCTCTGTCCCAGGATCATTTCAGAAGCATAACATCCTCTTACCTTGATGAGACAGGCGCTGCTGACCAGCTGCTTTGGGTCCACCACATCAACCAGGGGTTCCTTAATGGCCACCTCCTTGATGCACGACATATCGAACCCATACACGTTCTCCCACCCTGATGCAGACACAAACAGGCACGTCAGTTCAGTAACAGACAGTGGTGTCCAGTCCTGTGCTCCAAGTGGTGTTCTAAAGGTTGACCTAACAGGCAAGTGACTAACATTACATTGTCAGGCAATAGCTTGGGTCCATGTTTACTTCCCGTCAGCTGATATCATTCATATAGACTGCAACAGGAAATAAAGTGGGACACATTTGTAATGTTTAGACAATAGTGAAAGGGTCTTTTGTTTGGAATGGAACCCTAAATGTGTTAGAAACACTAACCACATCATATAGCTAGACACTACTGGATTACTGAGTTCCCTCATCAGGACCACAGATGAGCTCCTCCCTATGGGAAACTCACCAGACCCAACCTAAGCCAATGAGTGGAAGACTACTTACAGTGGATTTTGTAGTCCTTGTACTGCCTGTCTTCAATGGCAGTGACATAAAGGGTTGCCCTGTCGGGGAAAATGAGTCCATCTGGCTTCTGTCAGAGGGAAAAATAAAAACCATGAGACTCAGACCATCCAGTCTGCACAACATCAACAGCCATCCAACACAAAATGGAATAGAGATGCGCCAAAGCAATTTTCTTAGAGGATTCCAGAGAGGCAACCTGTGGTACATGATCAGCCGACAGCCAGCCGGTTTCAACCAGGGCATCTCTAGACTACGTGATGCCCTATTTTGTATCTCAATCAAATGGACTGGGCACAAACAGCTCATGACCAGTTCCTATTAAATACTAGCTTTTAGTAAAGGTATGTCAATTATAGCAAATATCTAGAATATACAGTAATTTAAACTTGCAGTCTAATGTTACCTAATGAGTTGCCAGAACCAGTTAGGGCTGCAGAAACAGTCCATGGAGTTAACGGGAATAACATGGAAATATAGGGGTTATCCGCTCTTTTTACCATGTGATATGCAGATTGAAAACACTAAATATATTCACTCCACTAATATAATCAAAACTTACATGAAAGCATGTAGGACGTAGTGCTTTGGCAGTGTGCATGCAGAGGGATGTCATTTGACTGAATTCCTAGACGATGGCCATCTGCCATATGCAATGCATGGTAACAATTAAATTGAATGGGCATACTTGAACCAAAACATGCCAGAAGATCTTATATTGCTTTCAAAGTGTTGAATTTGGTTTAACTCCAATTCACACTACTGACTACCACTGCTTCTCCATATTTGTGGCCACTCAAGCTCATGATACTACTGTAGTAATGAGAGCCAGCCACCATACCCAACTCAATGTTTTCAGCTTAGGGTTACAGTAACAATCAAAAATAATTACATTCAATAGACATAATATCAATATTAAGACTTGTTTGAGAGAGACAAACAAATACATACCAGCCATTTGTCCCTGGCATAAATGACTGTATTGAGCATGGACTCATAGAAGAGGCAGTAGCCCATCCACTCTGATATGATGATGTCTACTCCCTCCACAGGCAGCTCCACCTCCTCCACCTTCCCCTTGATGATGGTCACAACTGGAGACAAAAGATGTCACGAGTTACATTCATTCCCTCATCCCCATGTGAGCCAGAAATATTGAAACAGTTTGAAACTCTAAATGTGTCACCACATGATTGGATTCTATGAACTCACCATCATCCATCTTGTTGGCCTTGACAATTTTCACAGCGTAGTCTGAGATGCTGCTGCACTCGATCTATTAAGACAAAGACCAACATTTGAATTCCCACTTCCCCTTCCTATGCCACTATAAAAAAACAATCATCATTGGTCAAACCCTACTACCTAGTGATGCAAATCCAGCTAATCCAGAAAAGACTAATTGAATGGTTCCAATATAGACCAACACATACCCCTATAACCTTCTTGGCTCCAGCTTTGGCAGCAAACATACAGAGTATGCCTGTCCCACTGCCCACATCCAGCACCACCTTGTCCTTAAACAGATGCTTGTTGTGGAACATGGAATTACGATAGGTCAGAGTGCGAACCTCATCTTTCAGCATCTCCTACAGTGGCAGTAACAAAAGATAGCAGCAGGTGGGTTAAGCTCTATTGACACAAAAGGGATACACTTTATACAGTTTGATCATGTGAACATGAAAGTTGTTTAGTTTAAAAGAAAATACCTCGTGGATGCCAAAGTGGGCGTACGAGTCAAAGTAGTAGTCCTTTGATGTCATATCCTCGGCTGCAGGCTTGGCTGAGCTCTCCCCCGCAAGCTTGGCTGAGCTCTCCCCCTGAGAAATCTCAACAAAAGACACACACAATTACAACCTGAAGCAAGCTTGCGCTTTGCTACTGTGCTTTGGGTTTATAAGTAATGGAAATACTAAGCCACATCAGTGCGTCAGATGTGGTTTAAAGAATTGTATCCTCAACTCAGAGATGTAACACACATCATAAAAACAAGAGTCAGGCAAGGGCGATATAACGGTGTATCAGGGTATTTGGAAATCCTCAAAGTATGAGTTTCAATACCGCCATAAATACAGACACTCCAGTTTCTATGATGCTGTATAGTGCACAGTAGCACCAAAGGTTGGTCTCTATAGTGCAACGGGCAGCTAATGAAGACTCAATAGCCACATTATTTTAATCAACTGCCAGTCTGCCTACAATCTGTACCGTTGGTCAAGACACAGGCAGCATGAAGTGACTGATTGGCCAACTTAAATAATTAAAATCTCTTATCAGTGTCCCAAAAATCTAAATATTAGAAAAATTATGATTTATTGATGTTATGTTCTGCTGAATCCATTCTATAATACAACTTTGTACTGTGTGTAAATATTTAATGTCTCATGTAGGGAATGTAATTAGGGCCCGTGCAAACGACAACGCCGGGCCGTGAAGGCCCTATTGAAATTTGAATACACATAGTACGTCGGGCGCATATTTGGGGGACTTGCCATACTCGAAAACTCACCAAATTATGCACACTTGTCAGGCCTGGTGAATATAGCCATCTGATATACGTTGCATATTTGTGTGTAAAAAAAAAAAAAGCTCTCTAGCACTCCCTGCCAGTATGTCCAATTTACTTGATATTCAACACACATGTCCAACTCCGCTAGCTCTACAAAAAAGCCTCTCAGACCCTACACTCCACCTACCTAGATTTTCCACCATTTTGAATTTTGTGAAAAACACATTTTTGCGAACTCATCCTACACGCCGACTCCGATTGCTACCAAATTTGCTCCGAATCATTGTTGGTACTACATCACCAAACGTTATTAAAAGCTTTTTGATATCTTTGCGTTTACAAGATATGGACCAATAAACGTCTTAGGGGCATGGCTTATATATATCAAACAATTTCTCAATCATTTGTCCTAAAATCACCAAATTTGCAGCATATGTGCACATTGCATCCTGTAACATACCCTGATATTTTAATTTCATTCAACCACTAGGGGGCGCTACAGTAAACCCATCATGTTCTTTTTTTTGTCACTTTTCAGCCTTTGTACTTTAACGAACTCCAACAGAATTAATGGGATCAACCTCAATTTGGTCAGGATGCTCTTCAGACCTTTGTAATGAAAAGTTATCAAATTCGTGAGTCTTCATGGAAGAACCTTGACATGGCGTGGCGGCCATTTTGCCTCATTCGGCATGAACAATAAAGTTGTTATAACTCCAAGGTACATTATTCAATCTGCAAAAAATTACATATGCATGATGCTACTTCAAGCTTGAGCATATTCCAAAGCCAAAATTTTCAATAACTCATAGCACCACCTACTGGCAAAAGGAAACGTCACATTTTATACATTTCTTTATTCCTCCTAGCCAGGTGACCTGATGACTCAAATTTGGTATTGATAGCCTTAAGACATTGATGATGCATCATCATGAATATTGGGACTTTTCGATAAACGATGTTGCCGTGGCAAGGCATCATTCGCCATGAAAAATGAAGTTGATGGTTCAGTAGCTTGGGTGCATAAAAAACTGCATAAAAAACTCAAATTTTGTACATGCGTCATAGGTCATGGGAAGACATTTTACATGGGTTTTTGGCTTGGCAGTTTTAAATTGCCTCCATGGCGCCCCCTACAATATTTCAAAAGAGCAGCCCCAGTGCTGCATTTTAGGTACATGTATGAAACTTGGTATGCACATGCATCATCTAAAGACTTAAATAAAAGTCTATTGGGACCATGCTCTAAACCATACCGGAAGTCAGCTATTTAGATTTGTGTCATTTTCCATCGATTTTGGCCTATTTCTAGTCGCTATACTTTAACGAACTCCTCCTAGGGAATTTGTCTGATCCTCTTTAAACTTGGTCAGTACACTTTCAAGACCATTGATTCAAAGTTATCGAGAGCTTTATGTTTGGTTGAATGGCTTTTCCATCACCAACAAAATGTGTGCTCTGAATGAAGGGTGCTGTGGTTGACAGTTTGTTTACAGTTATTTGATTGTAACGATGGCCTTATTGTTTGTAAATTGGTGAATTAATAACACTGAGCTGATAGGGTACTGTTTGAAATTGGACACAAAAAAAACACGTTTTATCAGTAGGCTAATGCAACGAGTTTCCTAAGAAGCAGATCACAATATTTTGGAATGAGATGAAAAAGGGTCGAGTGAACAACACGCTAAATTATAAACTACACCACGTAAAATCAGTCGCACCATGGACACGCGCGTAGGTGTAACGCTATCGGTCCATACGATACTCGGGTCAATTGCATCCTGAGCAAAACGCACACTATTCCACAAGAATAGAATAAATGTTGCTGTAGCACAAACTTCTGACTGAAGCTAAATGTTTGCTTAGCCTGGAGTGTGGCTATGCGAGTATAGATCATAGTGAGTGAGTGAGGCCATCCTCCCCCGCAGCACAATAGATGGGAGCACATGGTTGATAGTACTCTGATGAGATCTTGGCCTTCCTCTCTTAAGATAGCCACAGACGATCTAAACTACGCAGTGTCACCTATCGACTAATTCAAAGTCGATAAATTGCAGCTACTGGCCGGACGTCACTACCAGGCCTTTACGATTGCTAGAGTCGTCAAACAGGTCACTTGGAGTGACTTAACAGTATAAGCCGTTTGTATTTTAACGATACGGGCTTTGCTACCAATTAGTCGAACGAGGAGTTATAACGTTAAGTCCGCACATTTAATGTTGATGCCGCTATTAAACCAAGACGCAGTATGAAAATATTTCGCGCTCTTGTGGAATCATTTTACAGCAAACAAACAGTGTCCCTTAGTAAAAACCGGCGGGTGAATGTGGCAGCATCCATACCTAGTAGATCACTAACGCTAAGCTAACTGTAAGCTAACACGTTAGTTCCCATGCGGTCCCAGAGGCCGGCTGGATGTCGCACAAAGCAAAACAACATTTCTGCGGACACCCGTCGCTTAAACTTGCAAAGTTCGCCGTGTCCAAATACACACGGAATGGTAAAAGTGTATAAAACAAATCTTAACTCAGTGCGATAAGCGTCCCGTAATGAATGAACGGCAGCTGCATCACTCAAGTAACGTCAGCTAGCTTAAGTTAAGATGGATGCACCACGCAGTGGCGCGAATGTCATGGCAAAAGCACAAATGTTAAGACAATTCATAACATTTTCCCAGGAAAGAAAGAAAAATACGTGCGTATAAAGTATACAATAACAAGTAGAGGGATATTATATTTCCTATTGTAACGCCTTACCTCCATCCTCTCTGCTGGCGCCGCCATTTCGATCTCCTGCCTGCCTGCGTGAGATTGAAAAAGTCTTCCTTGGCTCCGCCCACCACTGTTTCCATGGTTCTTCTTCTTTTTTGAGGTTTATTGGCGGTTGGCAAACAATGAATTGGTGCATTACCGTCACCAACTGGTATGGAGTGTGGATCAGGATGTCTCGTACTTATATAAAAATAAAAATTCAAAAAGAAAATGCCATGGTTCTTCTCCTTTTAGCTTTTAACGGCTCTTGACAACCGGAGCATGAGTTGCATTACCGTCACCTTCTGCTTCGGAGTGTGAATCCGTGAATACAGTTTCTCCGACAAAAGAAATCTGCACTGTTTGCTCAATTTGACAGGTTCATCAATGTTTTATATGAAGAGTATGAATTCCAGCCTTCTTGCATTTTGTCCTGTCTTGTTCCTACGAACAATGATTACGGGAAAACACAACAGACTCCTCAATCTGACAATGTGTGGGTGTTTAAAAATCACCTATTTTCTTGACCTATGTATGTTTCTATGTTGAAATGACTTTGTTATTCAAATCGTACAGAAACCCTTCCTTTATTTCAGTGTTCCACTGCTCTTGTCACTCTTAATTCTAAACTATTATCTTTACCTCTGCTCTGAAGCTTAATAGTAGCCTACTTGTAAATATAGCCACAAGGGACCATTTCCATTCAAACCTACATGCAGGAACCCACATAAACTTCACATACCTTGATGTTCTTGTAATAGACTACTCTGAATAAAATATCTAGACCGTTGGAATTGAAGGATCTAGGCTGATGAGAGGTGAAACCGAATCGGAGCAGATTAAAGTGTTCCCTGATGTTCCTCTTCTTAATGCAGAGCCAAGACTTCAGCCTATACACTGAATAAACTCACAGATAATAAGATGTGGGCTACGCATTTTTCTGAAAAAGAAAAGGCAGTCCCAGCTGTTTGGATTTTCTGGATCTTTTTAGCCATCTGGATATATATACTGAGTAGTACTATGAACTGAACAAGTTCACAGTCTACTTCCCATCTTATTGAGCTTCAACAAGCACACGTCTGTCAGTGGTGTTAAGTGTATTCATGGCTCAGCCTCTGGATTAACTACTGTTGAGCTCAGCTCGATATTAATAACCCCCATGTCCTCTGCATACCTTTTGCCAACCCACCCAAAGCTTGCTCTTTGTCCTCCGCCTTGTTCCCAGCACTCCTGTAATATTACTTTCACCATTTTAACAAAGATGGAACAATGTTCATTTTGTTCTTTCAAATACAGCTCCCATGATATTTGCATGTTGCTGATAAACTGGGACTACGCAGAAAACACCTTGACTACATCAGAAATATAAATGTTACATTGGCAATCAATGAATCTGGAGTGTATTTGCAGGAGAAAATAGTGCAGATGCTGCCAATTAAAGTTTGTGTGGCCCAAATTGATGCTTAAAGCATCACTATATACTAAAGCTGAGTCTCATCTCAGGGTCTACCTATAAGATTTACCAAGGTGACCCTCAGAGGACCCATTATATATTGATCCATCTCTGTTAAATGAAAAAGACGGTCTCAGGCTTTGGATGGGAATGTCCACTTTGATCTTTCTTGGGTTGTGGGGGGCTGGAGGGAGTCTCAGCAGTTTGAGTTTCTAGAGTGATATTTCACAGTATTATACGGTAAGTCAAGGTGAAATCCATTCATGCACAGTAGTATCACATTTTTTTGTTCACTGTCAAGTAACCTTTACACAAGGTTGAAATTCACAGTGAATTAACCAAGGTGCAGTACATTAGCAATAAATATAGCCTTGTAAAACGCCACACAAAAACAACAGATGATAAAGAAAAAAGGAATTCAACTATTGATGAAAGCACTTGATCTTCCACACTGCCAACTGGTCAAATTCACAATGGCAATACAAGGAAGGATCAGAAAACTGTCACTGTATGACAGACAGAAATTTTATTTTTATTTATTTGTTTATTTGTTTTGCAGGGACAATGCACACCAATCAACAGTCACACTGTAAGTGAGCCAGAGTTAGCCAGAGAGGCTAATTTTCATCTGCTGTCCCCAGCCAGATGTTTAAAGGCAGCCTAAAATTACAAAATTTCAAATTAAAATGGAATGGACAGTAACTTATAGACAAAACAAATACACATAAGCAAAAGAAAAGTGTACATAAGACACGAGAGCAGAGCAGACATAACAGGCTGCAACATGCATCAGGCAGAAAAAAACCCACCTACAAGCACATACAGTGGGTACGGAAAGTATTCAGACCCCTTTAAATTTTTCACTCTATGGTTCATTGCAGCCATTTGCTAAAATCCAAAAAGTTCATTTTATTTCTCATTAATGTACACTCAGCACCCCATCTTGACAGAAAAAAACAGAAATGTAGAAATTTTTGCAAATTTATTAAAAAAGAAAAACTGAAATATCACATGGTCATAAGTATTCACACCCTTTGCTGTGACACTCATATTTAACTCACATGCTGTCCATTTCTTCTGATCGTCCTTGAGATGGTTCTACTCCTTCACTGGAGTCCAGCTGTGTTTAATTAAACTGATTGGACTTGATTAGGAAAGGCACACACCTGTCTATATAAGACCCTACAGCTCACAGTGCATGTCAGAGCAAATGAGAATCGTGAGGTCGAAGGAACTGCCCAAGGAGCGCAGAGACAGAATTGTGGCAAGGCACAGATCTGGCCAAGGTTACGAAAGAATTTCTGCAGCACTCAAGGTTCCTAAGAGCACAGTGGCCTCCATAATCCTTAAATGGAAGAAGTTTGGGACAACCAGAACTCTTCCTAGACCTGGCCGTCCAGCCAAACTGAGCAATCGTGGAAGAAGAGCCTTAGTGAGAGAGGTAAAGAAGAACCCAAAGATCACTGTGGCTGAGCTCCAGAGATGCAGTAGGGAGATGGGAGAAAGTTCCACAAAGTCAACTATCACTGCAGCCCTCCACCAGTCGGGGCTTTATGGCAGAGTGGCCCGACGGAAGCCTCTCCTCAGTGCAAGACATATGAAAGCACTACCACTGAGGCACATAACAGACACATTAAAATGGAAAATAGCAACACTGAACAAGACAAATGCACATATAGGCGAAACAAGCAGACAGGACAGACATGCTTGCATGCCTGATTGGCCACAAGCCATTCCTTAAGGCTATGTTTGAATGTTTTGTATGCGTTTTGTGTGCGTATGTGTGGTGGCAGAGCATTCCACGAGTGTGCTGCCTTCACAGAGAATGTAGATTTGCTAAAAGAGCTTGACCTATGTGAAATGACACAAGCACCTTTTGAAGCAGATCCAGTGAGTCTGCTGCTTTGAGTGCTTTGTTTAATCACTAAGTGGAGGCGGGGCCATACCATGTACAATTTTAAAAACCAGACGCACATCAGTGAATTTAATGAGGTTCTCCCAACTCAGGATATGGTGTTTGATGAGGATATTGCAGTGATGGTGACTTTTTGTTTTTTTATCAAGTGTTTTTAGAGCTTGTTTATGGAGAATATTAATAGATTGTAATGTTGTGCTGCTGGCTTGTGCCCAGCTGGTTAAGCAGTAGGTCAGATGGGGGACAATCCTCGCATTGAAATACAGTTTCGCAGCCTGCATGGTTAGACTGTTTCTTATATATCTAAAATTCACGAGATTACATTTTAAGACCTTAGTCACATGTATTACCTACTTTTTAAAAGAGAGATTAGAATCAATAAAAATTCCTAAATATTTAAAATCTAACACTATCTGTAGCCTCTCACCAGCAACATAAACATCTAGCTCGGGTGACACTTTGCAAGCCCTCTTTGTGAAGAACATACAAACAGTCTTTTTAACATTCAGGTGAAGGCAGGAATCTGCAAGCCATACATTTGTCATTGTGGACGTGAGTTTAAGTGCAGCTTATCAATCAATCACTGTATCGTCAGCGTACATTTGAATATCACACCCATTGCAGACACCCGGCAAATCATTAACTGAATAATAAAGGTCCTAAAATAGAACCCTGGGGTACTCCCACGTTCAATCTCAGAGTAGATGATGAAACATCACCCACTCTGACACACTGGGTTCTTCCTTCAAGGTAGGATTTCAGCAAGGCAAGAGACTCTCGGGAAAAGTTAAAATTTGACAGTTTATTAATCAGGACATTGTGATTAACTGTATCAAAAGCCTTCTTGAGGTCAAGAAAAAATGCTGCTAGAAAAACCGCTGCTACTACACCCCCTTTATCCATTTTAAGCTTCACATTCTCTAAGAGGAAGCAGTTGGCTGTTTCAGTCGAAAGATTAGCCCTGTAACCAAACTGCATAGGATGCAGATGATATGGAGAGCTGTTGAGTTCTTTAATAAGTTGCTCTGCAACACATTTCTCAGCAATTTTGGAAACAACAGGGAGGATACTGATTGGTCGATAATGAGAGACAGGGGCGTTTCTAGGATTCAGAGAAATGGAGGGCTTAGCCCCAAGGGCAGTGGCATGTTTGCGCACAATGTGCGCCGCAATTTTATTTGGGGCCGGTGATATCCATTGTTTCAGACAGTTCATAGATTGGTTCAATCCTAGTGCCCGGGGTTTATATCGTTAAGTATGATGTTAGGCTATTGGATTGTAATTTGAAGGGGGAGAAAACATATAAACCAGAGCGCACGCACATACAGGGGGGGGGGGGGCTGAAGAACATTTTAGGGGGGCTTCAGCTAGGCCTAACGACGCCCCTGTGAGAGACATAGGTTGAATCTCCTGATTTAAAAATGGGTGTTACTATGGCTGATTTCCATCCTTTCGGAAACACACATTGCCTGAGGGTGAGCGAGTGTGCCTTTGTGTTTGTTAATTCATTCAAAAATCTCGCCAGTTAAGCAAAGATTCAAGGATTGTATTTATTGACATTAACATTTAAAAACAAATCGCGTGCTCTCCTCACTTGAAAGCATATACTGTGTTTGATAAGGTCAAACAGACAGCAATTGCTGCAAAAGCTGATCGTTGATGACGAGCATGGTGACGATGC